TAATAATAATTAAAATTCATCTACAGATATTCTGTGGTCTTTCAATTGAGAAGAAGTATTATGTAGTCGATCATGGCCCATTGTAACGTTCCTACTTGTTTCCCTGTAGTATGCCAACGCGGCTTAGAGTACAGGGAATGCAGGGTTTGGGAAAGTCTCATTCGTTGGAGCAGTCTTACGTGTTCTGATATGCACAGGTATATGCCTGAGAATCTTATCCGCACTTCTTTTTGCATTTGAGTCAAGCTGTAAAAAATGCGCACAAAATGCAAATGAAATATGCTCTAGCATTAAGAGCGAAATTACAAACTTAAAGGAGTGCAGCGAGCATCCACTGTTGACCATTTCCTGGCGCCTAAACCAGTTTTCTTTGACGGCGGTAACAATTAGCGGCTATTTAAATCGCCGCACATGAGCCACTATTAATTACGGCAAGCAACATAGCTTCACTATTGAACTATGTGCTTGAATGTACCCTGTATTCGGCTATACATACTTCCTTGCCTTAGCAATACATTATTTTTTGATACCAAACGATGCATCTTAGCAATAAAGATATACATGTCATAACATATTTGTCTGATATATTGTTTAAGGTGTTAATATCATCACGTGAAGTTATTAACACCAAATGATCCTGCATTTGAGAAATAACTTGTCGAAGACAATGTCACATAAATGTATAGACCCCTATATACCCTTTTTCATCGATTTGCTGTGGGTATGGCAATGAAGCGACTGACGTCGAATCGAAGAAAAGTTGTTTATTGCAACTATTTGGAGTAGAAGCTTAGTGCGCCGTTAAACGGAAATACAAACATCTTTGAAGTAATTCTGACTTCAAAATAGAACTCTGAGATCTGTGATAATAAAATAAGTTTATTACATACGCTCACAATAAAATAAATAGTAAATAACAGGTAAAGAGAGGCTTACCTAAAATCACTTATTTTTAAGTTCTTTACCGAGTCAATAAGCTGAAGCGTTATATTCCGGTTCGAATAAACTAGTGTATCTATAGAAAATAAACGAGTCATCGAATGTCGACCTACGTATTTATATATGTGAATATAATATGTGAGTCTCTAAAGCTACTCTCACTGTCTTGATTTTCTTTGTTCAGGAAGTGTCTATATTGGTGTTGTGTAATGTCCGCTTTACTGTCCACCTGTTTGAGTGAACAGACTAGGAATTTCGAAAAATTACTCGCGTTTAGGTTAGCTCTTGGGCAAATTCTCTATGCTTGTAGTCTCCAGAGCTGATACCAATATACATATACCTTCACATACATATATCTAGTTAGTTTTAGACTTTGAGTGAGTATTTTGTAGTCAGCTCCGCATGTTTCAGTTGAAGTGGCCTTGTCGAATAAAGAATTTGCACACTAATTTTTCCCATGAACGAATTTCGCTTGTGGAGAATGTATACAAAGGCTATAACAACCTCTAAATGTCGAACGATGTCAGCGATAAATTTATCTTCTTAGGTAGCAGTTAGGGCCATAAATACGTCAATACTTACTTCTAAAAAACAATGACCGAAAAAACGTATTCGTTTTCATTTGGCTTTGGAGATCTATTTGTTTTGTTGACCATTTAGTAGCGAATCAAAAACGTTTGAGAATCTCAGATAAATACAAATGTTTTCTGAATAGTAAAATTGTATCCAATTTATTTCTTGAGTATATTATCTTGATTGTAATCGCCTTAAAAAATTCTCTTTTCACTTGTTTAAGTTCTCTTAGTGATCACATAATTTAAAATGAAAATTATTTTATTATAATGGTTCAGATAAAATCTCTGAAAGACTTTTAATTATAAATATATTATGACAAAATTTTACAAGTTAAAAGTCTTGTTTATTTAGTAACAGTGGTGTGTCATATTAACGCTTTTAACATATGAAATATATGAACATAAAAAGTGCCTTAAATATGTTTTATAAATCATTCTACAAATTAAGATACAAATTAATTTTTGATAATAACCAATACTTCATTATTTTAATAATTTGAGGAGTTTAAGCTTGTTTCATAGGACAAATAATAAAGTTAAGAATAAGAATTAATAGTTGGTTCTGTACCCTGATATGGTATTGTTAACTCTCAATGCAAATCGGCCGACTCGGCCTAGTGTTACATTCAATTAATGTTTTTTAAATCATGGTTTGATAACGCAATTGGCCTTAAAGACCTGAAAAGCAAATTAAATCGTAAGTTGTAATTTTTTAAAATTGCAAAATAAACAACATAAGTCAACTATTTTTGCTCGATACATTTCTAAAATATTTCAGAGCTTCCGTCTAAATATTATGGCGTTTGCCTTTCTCTAATATTATTCAACTTACTAATCACGTACATCTATTTACATACACCACGTCCGGTCATATTGACATTTGTTAAAAAACCAGCGTGTTATCCAAGCGTTTTTGATTGACAAATTTCTAGCTTCCGCATCGATATCAAATGTTTGAATGTCATTCTAAAAAAAAAAAAAAAAAACATATTACTATATTAAGTAAAAACTGTTATTATATTATGTGGATGAATTTACTATTGGCTTGGGAAAAATACGCTTCATGTCAACGCGATGCAAGTGTTCATCATGCGCTCGCTGAAGCCATTCATACTCTGTTCCACTTATACAGGGTAGACATAGGCTACATTCTTCTTTATTGCATGATTTATCGCAGTCATTATATGCACATTTGTTTAAGCCAGTCGCTAAATTTTTATCAGCCGCTATAATTTCAGAGACCCTAGAAGGAACCAAATTTTATAATAAAATTATACCTTAACACCTCTATGATACATACGCATTTCGATTATCTCCTATTTGGCTCACTGGACGAATTCCCACCAGATTGAATACACTATAAAGCACTTGCTCGTACAGTAGTGTGTTTTGCTTGAAGTGGGCAGAGGAAAGGTTTGGTGACATATTGGCTTCCATGAGGTGTACTTCAAGGTTCTCGTCAATGAATAAATCAAAACGCAATAAATCGAAAAAATTGTGCCTCCTATATCTACGAAGTGAATCAATTAAATCTTCTTCTTTACTTAAAATAGTTGTACGAATGATGTTTTCGACTTGTGGCCATATTTTAGATGGGTCCATTGCTTGGTCACGTACATACGCTTCAAAAGAGGCACGCATACTGCCACCGTAGCTATTATAATATTTGCGTAATGACGGAACTTCCCAGGTAGGTAAATAGTTGTCTCCTACAACGTATTTGTCCTCGATTTCAGCATCGAATGGGTAGTATTTTTCGGGACAGTAACGGAACAGAACATCGCCGTGGTATATGTAAACTCGTAACGGGTTTACAGATGTAATCACAACATAGACACCGATATCAAATTTATGACCGTCGACTAAAAATGGGTTCTCAATGAACTCCTGGACAAACGAATCATTCGAGTTCAAGTCGATGTCACTAATTGACCTAACTTTAATGTGACGATGCTCGTTGTGCTTCTGGACAAACAGTGCCTCCGGATGCGCCGATGCGTACTCCAAGAATGCGTCCCTCTGGCTTGGGAGGCGAAACGCACGTGGCAAAAAAGGTAATTTCGTAGTACATAAGTCAACTTTATTTGTTAGGTAACCACAGCCAGGTAAATGATTGACGAATTGATGCGCCTCAAGATTCTTTAGATGCGGAAATACGCGAAACGGATAGTCATGAGCCCACAGCAAGTCCCAATTCTCGTTTAACTCAACTCTTTTATAACCGAAACGGTTCAAGACATCAACTACGTGCACTAAGTGCTCTTCCGTGGGACTAGTGCTATAAATTGAGTAGAACCGCTCATGAGGCGACTTATGCGTTGTGACATTGAATGAGTTTCTTTCACTTATTATTTTGGCGTAGTGCGGTAATAGTTCAATAAGAATTCCAGTGCCTACCGTTGCCGCCAAGAAAAGCATAACGGTTCCCAATGGTATCGTTTTTAGCGATAATAATTTAGTGCAGTTGCCTGATAACTGAAAAAGTGAAAGTTTGAAGAAAAACGCAACTAAATTAAGTTTTTTCTAGGTGATTTTACATAGAGTATACTTTAGTTTCATTGTCCAATTTTTCCGGAGCTTCCGATTCTGAGTTTGACTTCATCGCACTAAAAGCAAAATAAATTAAAACCGAAACAAAATTTAAACAAAACGCCTAAGTCACAATTTGTAGAAACGAAAGATTAAGAGAAACAAGCATTCACGAAATTATCGATATGTGTTTCAATCAGCTGTTGTTACTCCTATATTCATTGAATGGGGAAGAGTATCGATATGTATCGGTAGTTATGAATTCGAGAGTTACAACGCCATCTAGAGGAGTACCGATGAACTACACTACAAAAAACGTAATTAAACGAATTTGAATTACGGTCGTTATGCATGAAATCAGAGGATACATTCACCGAAGTATTTTAATGGGAGGCATTCCCATAGCATGCCTTTAAAATAAAATTTGTCGTACTTACAAATGTTTATTTCTTAATCTTATTTGTTTGTTGTTTGTTAATTAAAGGTAGTGAGATGGTGCTGAAGCGTAACCGAAATGCAGATGATCTTCAAAAGAGGCTATTTCTGAAATATAAATTAAAAAAGGTGGTACGTGAAGTCATTATGAACAGTCAATGGCTTGATGAAAATCAAGATGATCATAAAATGTCGTCAAATGTTAAAAAAAATATCGCTTTCATGATGCGCACAAAGCGAAAATTTGGAGTACTTACATTAAGTGTAAGTAAATGTATATTGTTCAAATCAAATCGGATGATCGAACTCTTTGATCCGCGTCTTCATCGATTTCGTAGCATTACATTATCAATAGTAATTCAAGTGAAAAGCGTCGCGATATGATTTGAACAGACCGCGTACTTATATCAACTTTAATGTGACAGTAAGGGCTTCTATTCTTAGGATGATATCAAAAAGTTATAGTCACAACTTACAACTCTATATTCACAGATTCAACTGAATATAAGATATAATGTTAGAATTACAGTTTTCATATAAAACCATAATGGACGGGTGTAATTACCTAATTATGGAACTGAAATGAAATGATGTCATATTTACAAGTTTTGAGTTTCAATTCTTTTCCATTACCTTATATTCCTCAAAACTTTAACTTTTAGAAATAATATGTATTTAACAAGTACAGTACCTTCTAATCCATAGAATTCATGATTGTCTTAAGTGAAAACCTTTTTTATGTTTATGTAGACATTTTAAAGGATTGAATGTCCCCCAGGGTGGATGATACGACCCAGATAATTTATACTGTACAATAAATAGATTGCAGTTAGAGGAGCTTATATATTCCCAAACTAAATGGTTAATCAATCTCTTTTCTATCAGGAAAAATCTTTAATACGAACTCCACATCATTTAAGAACAGTATCTGATCGGAAGAAACTATGTATTCTTTTTGCTGGATTCAGATGTTTCCTCAGTGTTCCAGCCGTATGTACTTCTTGTTGTCCAAAAATCATGTGTTATTAAATATTTGTATTCATTATAGAAACAGCGTGTCCGTGTAATTCCTGTCGTTAAATTCTTGTCAGTTAGTCCCGGTCGCATTATTATAAGAAAGGGAGACAAGCCGTTTTTAATCTATTTTATTGTAGCGGGAGAAATTGGCATGCCTAAAAGAAATATTTCCGAGGTAAATTTAATTTAAAATTCCAAGTTCAATCACCGAATTTCAAATTTTTAGGTTGAAGACCAATTCATGTTTGGACCTGGTGATTGCATTGGCGATATAGGAATGTTTGAGGACGGCCCACGCTTTCAAACTTGCATTGCTGCATGTAAGTACCTACAACTTAAATGAATTGTGTATCGCACTCAATCGCCATTCAGCTTATTAGTATGCTATCATTATCTATATCAATGTCAACAAAACCGTACATGTGTTATTGCGAGTAGAGTACATTAATGTGTTTAGCCACTACCATTGAAAATGGGGAATCAGGGCTAATGATTTTCTGAAACTGTAATAGGCAGAAGGTGTCGTGGCAGACCCCGTTTTTACGTCCATCCGTCCGTATGAACGCCGAGATCTCAGAAAATATAATAACAGCAGATTTGAAATTTTACATGCATGCACAATATGCAGTACAAGTTTTCTTCGATAGCTCGTGCCGTTTCCGTTTTATCGATAATAATCGATAATAAATTTTGGGTTTTTAAGCGTAATTTTAATACTATTAGGCCTACTTTATACAGTTGTCGAATACAAAGATTTTGTAATTTACTTGTGCTTTGGTAAATACATACACACCTCTACACAAAGTTATTATCACATTCGGCAAGCCTCATATTATTCCACTACAAGAGAATTCATTCAACATATAAGTTCTCAGAGCAGGTGCTTATGCGTGCGTATGTAAGTGTGCGTATGTAAGTGTGCATGTGATTTTATATATGTATGTGTATAACGAAAAACAGAATGATGATGAGATACAATATCAGCTCTTTGTAGGGCTTAGAGGATCCATTAGAGGACTAGAACGCTCTTGCTTGTACTAGATTTATATGCTTTGTATGGCTCATCATAAATCTATCATTAATATTTATTAAACTCCACGTAATTCTACGAAACATTTATCTTAAAAAAAAAATAAGGGACGTATATAAATAATAATTATTTATGAATATGTGTATACTATTCATATGTAGAATTTAAATTTAACAGTTTTGAATATTCATAGTTGAATTATTTAACTTATTCCTAGATCTGTTTATCCCAAAGCTAGGTAATTGACATTTGAAAAAAATACTCACGAACCTATAAGTGGGTCTTAATAGATACACAGTTCAAGACTCTTGTTTAGTATACGCTCAAATCATAAAATTTTTTTTTTAAATTATCTGCTTTGAGATGTGTATACATATATCGCAATGCATCTAAATTGTTCATAAACTTTACCACATATCTATGCATACACATACTTATACATATGTCTATATAAGTATATATTTGGTACATTTAGAGCTCAACACGCGATATCATAAGTACGTTTGTACATGACAAAATTGCTGTTGCTTCGTGACCAAAAGCAAAGGTTTGCACCAGCCAATTTAATCAGCAATAAACAAAGTTAAGTCCTAATTCGATTCAATCAAATTGAATAGCAAAACATAGCCGTTCCCCCATCCAGCCCATCATACCTCCGTTTTTTGCTAAGGAGGTATTTCAAGCCTTGCCTGTTATGTATTGCGAAAATATAGGTTGGCAGCAACAACAGCAGACGCTGAGGACCTCAAACCGATTCCCAATTTAGCTTTCACTTCGTAACGTGGTGTTTATTATTTTTATTTGCTTGTTTTTGACTTTTTTCGTTTTTTCTTTTCGGTCTATCGCATTGGAATCTTCAAACGAATTGATGAACTCCAATTTGTATTCCGTTCTCATTTTGAATTTGCTGTTCTTACCTTTTAAACGTGGCGTCTACTTAGCGCAATGCGAGCTCCTGGTACTACTCGACAATGATTTTAATTCGATCCTCAAGCCCTACATGCAGAAGGTTTGGAACGATAAGAAACGAGCCTTGAAGGCTTTGGACTATTTCGATTTTTTTAGCGATGATCAGGTAAGCGAACTGAATTTCAATCATTAATAATAGTTAGAATCGGCGCCAAACCGAATTGTATTACAGATTCTAAAAGCATGCAAGCTGTGTACGCTTAAGCAATATAATCCCTTGGATACAATTTACAGCCATGATAGAGGAACACTCACAAATGTTCACTTTGTTTTGAGTGGAGAATGTTTAATACTCCAGTGTCTTAATATGAAGGTATTTAGATAGACAATCCGTAGCTAGACAAATTTTATAAGCATTTAACATATTTATTGATAAAGGTTGTAGTAAATAATGGGAAAAAAATGTACCACCTCGTGGACACTTCGGATGGCGGACCTATCTATGTTCCTAGTGAGCAAAGCATCAGAAGCCGTCTTGTCAAAAATTCGTCCATGTTTGATGCCCTTGATGCGGTCCATAAAAACGAAAATAAATCGGTAAGTTACCTAAGGGAAATTAAAAAAAAAAAAAAAAAAATTATAAAATATAAGATACAATGATCTCACAAGTGGCAACAGTTCCATAAATATGTTGGACTCATTCTCAAAATGACTTCAGTTTGTCTGTCAGTTAGTCTGTCCACACTCATTCAAAGCTATAATATTTGTTATCATATTATGTATTCGTTTAGAAAAGGACAATAACCTCATTGGCTGCTTTGCCGACGGATTATATCCAAAGCAGCTAAAATTTAATATTCTCATATTCTCACTCATTCACGAAAGTGAATTATTATATTGGTTTTGTTCAATGTCCGTCTTGTCCGTATGAACTTTATTTTTTCGGCGCTATTGAAGCTACAGACTTGAAATTTGGAACACATACTTGGGTATATCTCCGATTTATAAAGTGCTAAAATTTTTCCGATCCGCCCACTAGGGGCGTGACAAATCGGAAAATCCGACATACCAGAAATCATTTTAGTTGAAGAGCTAGAATGCTGAAATTTGGAATGTAGATCCACGTCGTCCACCCAAGAACACAAGCTATGGCGGATATATCTACGCCTATTGAGGGCGTGGCAAATCGGATAAAACTGTATCTCCAAAAGCTTCGACGGATATATGTCAGCCCACAAACTGCAAAGGTTTATATCTCTTAAAGTATAATAGCTAGAAGCTTCAAATTTGGATAGTTAAGTTACTAGTGACCTTCTATATCGATGAACAAAAAATAATTTTTACACCTCTTTAGGGGGCGCGGCATATCGAAAAATTCAACTTTTGCAGTTAGGGTATCGTTAGCTTGTTCTAAGAACTGACCAAAAATGAGATGCCTACGCACAGTAGGGGCGTGGTAAATCGGGAAAAATTAATTAATTTTCTACAGTATTAGGGATAAACTTAGCTACTAAATTGCTGATGGGATGTGAATGATTATTCCACAGTCGGTTACGTCCGGCTGCAATGTTCTTACTTGTTTTTTCATTGCCTTTATTTTCAAATGCATTTTTTATATGATTGTGCAGCCCGGACAACTTAATACTCTGACGAGTGATTCTGACAATGGAAGCTCAATATCAACGGTAAATTTAATAAAACACTATACTAGTCCAAGTAGCATTAAATATTCCGAATATTATGTGGAGGAAATGACATATGCTGATGAAGCCTACTCAAGCTCTGGAGAATTATTCAAAGATAGAAAACAATTGACCTCTGATATCTATAATGATATCGAATCTGAAAGCGACTTATTTTATGTTTCAAATTTTCTTGGTTCATCAAGCACCTGTCTAAGTGTGAGTCATTTGCTTTTCTTTTAATGACTTTATCTTTTATTGTATACGGAAGTAAACATATTTTTGGTAAATTTATTGATTCTAGAAACTTTTCCATTATATTTAATTTTAGGCGGGCGACATTGAAAACCATTTTATTGACGTTGGATCTCTTACGTTTGGTGGAATATTCGGACTGGGCGAAACGATGCGTCATCGTGTAATTATGGCACGGAGTACCGTGCAATGCTTGTTGCTCCCCAGATTTTTCTTACTCGATAACGACCAAAATCCGGGAAACATTTGGCAACGGAGGCTTTTCTACCTAGAATGTATCATTCCATCTAGAGACGATCTATTCGATAATTTCCTTAAGACTTTGAAGTGGAAAAAATTTAAAATTGATTTTATCAAAAATTTAACAACTAATACAACGAATATCGCCAAGGATGATGACATACCGGTTCTATGTCGCATCGAAGGAGGAATAGATCCTCAATGATATCTTTAAGTTATTGTGCAGAGTAATAGTTAATTAAGTGAGTTGAGCACTGAGAATTAAAAAAAAAAATATTCCTGTAAAGAGAACTGAATAAATAAATGGACCTCCTAAAGCAAACACTTCATAATGCAACATTATATATTATTGTCGATTATTAAATTGACTTACCAATGTTTCATTTATATTCTAAATATTCCACTAAAAATAAGAATAAAATAAATGTAAATGCAAAAAGATGAGATAATTTTATAAATTATGGAATCAAGGGACTACAAATTTAAAATGTATACCATACGCAGTATGAGTTTATAATTTGTTCGATAACTCATATCCATTTATATTAATCGATAATAGTTAATTCGAATTGAGTGTTTACGTTTAAATGTTCTATGCAAATTTAACATGAAATCTAGATAAATAAATTGTTAGTATCATTTTTTGAAAAAGAAGTTATTCCTTTTTTAATTCTATTATAACTGTCCATAGTTCAGGTATCCCAAGCGCTGCTGCTGGGCTAACTTTAAAGGCAGCGAAGTTGGAAGTTGGAAGCGATGCATGGAGCACATAAAAAAAAAAAATAAATAAATAGATGATGTGTGAGCTCGAATCTGATAGAGATTCCATCAACTCTTAGAGGTCGAAGTAAAGACTTTCATCTTGATGTTGAACATCTCTACAGTTTGAATACTTATGATTCATATATGTGTCAAATTAGAGGAATCAAATATTAAAGAGTTCAATTCATGCTCTAATTTTATTCGTGTCATTCATTTTTCTTATCATGCTTATCGAGTGCGTGCTAAATTGGTAATATCGATTTCCTCATTTCTTGAAGCGCTAACGAATAATATATAATTTTATACGGCCGACTGCGAAGACGGCTAAAGAAATTGAGAAAACAACAGGGTATATTGTCGCATTCTCTAATACCTACAAATCGGGTGCTGAATTAACTTATCCACTAATTATACACTTATGTTATTCCATAGTGAGAATTTTCCTTGAATTCAATCAAATAACTAAATGTGTTATATTCTCTATTTTGAAGTGAGTCAGCTCTACTTTCTGACGCAAGAAGTCTTAACTGTTGTGGCTGCCTTTTGGTAAGCATGGAAACGGTGAACGAAGCACTTTAAGGTTTTCAGCTACAAGAGCCGAAATTCTCTCTCAGTATTGATTCAACAACAGTTGTGAACGTTTTGCAAAGTGCGAAGAAATTATTGATATGGCTGTAACTAATTTACCAAGAGTTCCGGACGGTCTTAGAGATCTGGTAAAAACCTATACTAAGGAAGTTTTACGCGAAAAACCCAAAGATCTATACAAATTCTCAGTAGATTATTTTGAGAACCTAGCGGGTACAAGAAAAATTCAGCGAAAGGTGATGAAATACGAATCCCAACAAAGTTACGAAACCATCATGAAAAACCGCATCCGACAGCAAATACCATTGTCCCTTGCATTTCATATAATTCCTGAAAATCTGACCGAAGTAATCAAACAGTTCATCAAAGCCGTCCTGAGAGAGAATCCCCAATATTTAGTTCTATTCGCAATAGATTATTTTAAAAATCTTCAAGCTTCGTCATCGAAACTGGGAAATATTCAGTATACAGCTTATGAAAAGTTTGTGGAAAAAAATGAGAGCAAGTCGCCGGCACGTAAGGTCACTAAATGTGAATGTGGACGTATTCTCAGCTCGACGGGTGGGAGACCAGAAGTGATACAAAACGATACCCCTGATGTGGATCAACAAATCGAAAAGTTCCATAAAAACGACCAGTACATAAAAGCTGTGTACATCATTCAGAAATATTTTCGACAATATTTGAAACAAAAAGCAGAAAAGTCAAGTCAAGTTAAGGTTACTTCAAAATCTGCAGATATTTATGGAAGCCAAGAAGTCTTAAATGCCATTTTAATAATTCAAAGACAATTTCGCCGTTTAATAATCAAAAAACGATCCAAAGTCTCCGCGGAAACGAAACAAACAAATGAAGGACGTTACGCTTCTGTAAAATATATGAAGGCCACACTTATTATACAACGATACATGCGAGAATATTTCAGAAAGAAAAATTCGAAAAAGCAGGCGTTAACCAAATCTAAGGATTCTACTCCTGATAATAATATTTCCATGACAACAGCAGCATTCGTCATTCAAAGAGCATTTCGCAGGATGGTTAGGGCGCGAAGAGGCAAAAGACATATAAATGCTGACCTCGATCAATGCGATGACATGAATGACAATGCTTCCGAAGCAGCATCTTATACGTCCGCCTCTACTGCTCTTCTTTCAACAGAGTCAGCAGGTGAACATGATTTTGGGAGCACTAATGAAGAGGGCGTCCATCAACAAACTATCAAGGAAGATGAAGAAGTTGAGAACGATAACACAAACCGAAAGATGATATTTGGGATAGATTCGATAAAAACAAATACAAAATCAGCAAATCATAGTGGAGAAGGTAAACAATTTTGTTGTTGTTTTATTTTTTTATTTTTATACCCTGAACCCATTTTCAATGGGAAATCAGGGTATAATGGTTTTGTTGAAATGTATGTAACAGGCAGAAGGAGGCGTGGCAGACCCCACAAAGTATATATATTCTTGATCAGGGCGACGAGCTGAGTTGATTTGGCCCTGTCCGTCTGTCTGTCCGTCTGTCCGTCTGTCCGTC